TTGGCCAGAGCTGCCCTGGTTCTCCATCGCATCATTCTGCTGTCCCTCCCCGAGGGCTGGAGGCCATTCCATCCAGAAACAGATGCGGTTTCTGAGAAGAAGCATGTCTAATTTCAGGACCTCTGAGGTGGTTCACTTCTCCAGATGGAGAAGGTTCAGCTGTCTCCCCCCAGCCCCACTGCCACCCCCACTGAAGCCTTGATCCAGGGTCCGGACCGCCCGGGTCTCAGCCTGGGCGGTGGTCACTGCAGGGCTGGACGTGGGAGGTTGGGACTTTGTAAGGGGTGAAAGGGCAGGACGAGGTCAGGAAATGAGGTGAGAAGGAAGACCCCAGACAGTGTGGCCCCGGAGGGAGCTTCTCCCAGGCACGACCCTCAGATAAGCCTCAGCCGCCAAAGTACCCCAGATATTTCGAAGTCCCAAACCTCACCTGAGCTGATGGGTGCGAAATGTTAGGCACATTCTAGTGGATGCGTAATGGAGGTTTAAAAGGAAAAGTCACAGGAGGAGAATGATGCTGAGAACAGAGGCAGAAGCCAAATGTGAGGGTGAGGCAACACCGGAGGAAACGCGAGGACGCAGAAGTGGTACTGAGATCTCCTCCTGAGAGGGCACTTGGACCCTGATTGGCCGGTGACCCCACACAGGAAAAAGCAAGGGAACTTGAACCATCTTGATAAACTTAGAGCTCCCGGGAGTGGCTCGCTGGTCCCAGGACGCAGCAGACTTCTCCAAGAGCAGACTTCCAGAGAAGGCCCTTCCTGCCCTCACGGACCGGACCCTGGACCCGCACCGAAGGTAAGAGCTAGTTGTCCTCGTCTCGCCGCATCTCCCCGGGGCGTTGAGCCCGTGTCTGGTCTGGAGCCGAGACCGGCTGTGCGTCCTGTTTCCACCGCGTCTTCCCTGTCCCCCACGGCTGCCGTCCACCCGCCACTGTCTCCCGACCCGCTGGGCTGTGGTCTGACATCTCCACGATGGGACAACACCGATGCCTCGGCCATGCCCTCCTGGACAATTCTGCAGTGGGCTTTCCCCCAGTTTTAGCTGCCACGTGTCTACTCTCTTCCCTGCCCCCCTCCCCCTCGCACATTCTCATCCAGTTACTTTACAGGATGACTTACGCCATTTTTGCATTAGGACAATACGGCGTGGAGAGACAAGACACTGGACCTCAAACCATGAAAGTCTGAAGAGGGGCAGCTACTGAGGCCAGCAGTCACACGGCCCTTAAAGAAAAGGCCCAGGGCCAGGGGCGAGCCTGCCACGGCAAAGAAGGCCCAGGTGCCCTGGCCACCTCCAGTCATCCAGCCAGCTGACCAGCCTCGGGGAGCAGAGTTCCCTGAAAACAGCCCCAGAATATTTGGTGAGTGGAATACATTATCTTTGATGACATCCATCTCCTAGTGATCTGCCCTCCGTTCCATCAGAATATCGTCGCTAGTGCATTAAGGACGTAAGTCTACAACAGTCTAAAGCACGCTAAACCCTTGTGCTCCTGGTATGTCTCACTCTGCTCAGACTTCCGAGGAATCGCTGCCGTGCTGCAGGTCCCCCCGCCTCTGCTCTTAGCGCCTCAGACATCACGCTCCCCTGTTTCCTTCCCCCACACCCTCTCCTTTCCTGTGCGCTTCAGTTGGTCCTTCTTTGTCCACGCATTGGATGGTGCTCTGTCCCAGATCTGCCCCTCTCCTCCCTATGATGGCGTCCTCTTCAGTGGTGTCAGCTGTCACTTATACATTGCTGTTTGCTAAGTCCACAGCTCCCTTCCCAAATCCCGGTGATATGGATTTCTTCACCTAGATGTTCCACCAACAACCCCAAAGCAGCATAAGTCAGAATGAATTCGCTACCTTCTACTCACTTCCTTCTTCAAAGCCTACTTTTCAATCCACCTAATCCACAACCTGAGCTGAGAGTCCTCACGGACTTCTCTCCCTTTCCAGAATGTCCTCTCAGTACCAACCCTAGGATAGAAGAAAGAACTCTGGGAACATTAACCCAAAGATCCAAGGCAGAGCCAGCAGTGACGAGTGAAGGAAGTCTTCCTCGGGGTGGTGACTCCTGAGCTGAGCCTAGAAGGACAAAGAGACTGGTGTAGACATAATTCCCATTGGGTTGCTCTGAGGTATAGGTAGTTTGTTATGTAAAGCCATGAAGACAAAAAATATAGGACAGACATGCACTGCAAATAAGTCAAGATTGCTGAAGAGCAGAGCATGATGGTGAGGTCACAAAAGGGGTGGCAGCAAGACACACAGGCCCTGAGCCAAGGAGCACAATTTTTATCCTGATGGAGTCTAAGATAGGGAAAAACATGACTAGATATGCAGATGATGGAAGATGGTGGGAAGGGTCGGTTGGAGCAGGGCAATATTGGAGCCAGGTAAGTAAATTAGAAGGTAGTCAAGAGACTGAACACAGGGGAGTGTGAGCACAAGAGCAGAAAAAAGGAAATTATATTCGTCAGCACACACTAGGTTATATTGCGGTAACAAACAATCCCTGAATCTTCATGCCCTAAAAATGAGGTTTTTTGTTTTGTTTTGTTCTGATTTTTTGTTTTTTACTTACATTCCACATCCATTGCAAGATGTTCCTTTAGAGATTCAGACTAATGGAACAGGGGACCTTGCTGGTCCCCCATGTCAGGAGGGAGAGGGAGCTCTGAAAGGTCTCAAACAAGTAAATAAGTCTTCCACCCAGAAGTCACCTTCCACTAAGAAGTCACTATTCAGAATGATTCATGCAGCTCTAGTCCAAGAACAGCGGGCCCAGGAAGTCCAGTCTCACTGGTGCCATGTTGTCAACTAGCGTGAATAACCACAAGAAGTGGAGACAAAATTGAGAAAAACGTGTTGGATGTAGGAAACAGAGGGAGAGGCAGGAGTCAAAGTCAGTAATATTAACAGTGGCTTACACTCACTGAGAACCTACTGTGTGCCAAGCCCTGCTCTAAGTGCTTTACAAGGATTCATAGGGGAGTTTAAGCCTAGCAAAAACCCTGGGAGGAAACACCATGAACCTCATCACGATAAATCAGAGTCTGACAAACTACGGCCCACGGGCCAGATCCCGCCTACCACCTGTTGTTGTGCAGTCTGTGAGCCAAGAACAGTTTTTCTATTTTTAAGTGGTTGGGGAAAAAACTGAAAGAAGAATAATATTTTGTGGCATGGAAAAATGATAGGAAATTCACATCTCAGTGTTCGTAAATAAGGTGTTATTGGAAGCCGGCTGCACTAGGGCGTGACCTGTGGTCGGTGGCGGCTCTCTGTGCAACGGCAGAACTGAGAACACAGAACAAGTCGCCTGTGGAGCCTAAAATACTTACTGTGTGGCTCTTTACAGAAAGATCTTGCCAATCTCTGCTTTATCTCCAGAAACGGACACACAGAAAGGTGGGGAACATTGCACAAGGCACCCGTTCACTATGTGAGGGGCAGGAACCCAGCCCAAATGGTCTGACCCCAGAGTCCCCCGCACCCTCCAGTGACTCTGCATTTCAGATCCAGGGGAATAGGCTTTGTGTGCTAATGTTATCTGTTATCTGCAGGAAGAAGAAACATGCAGTGAAGAGCACAAGTGGGGGGGGGCGTCCTCCCTGGTGTAATTAGCAGGCAGTTTGACGAGCAAGTCAGGGACTGAGGAGAGATAGAGGTTTGGGAACTGAGTGACCGATTGGGTGCCAGGTGAGTGGATGAGATCAAATTCAAGGATGTAGTTTAAGTGGGAAAGAGCAGGATACCGAGAAAAGGGACCTGAAAAACGCCAACATTTGGGGGATAAAAAGAGGAGAGGAGCTAACGGAGTCTCAGTAAAAACTAAGGATAGGCTGGAAATGAGGGAGGGGAGGAGTGTGAGGCCCAAAGGGCAGGAGGGCTCATGGAACCTGAGCCCCAAGCACAGCGTGGTGGCTGTCGGAGCTCCCTGGGGCTGCTGCGGTAAATGGCCAAAAGTCAGCCGCTTAAAACAGCTCAAATCTGTTATTTCACAGTTTCGGAGCTCCCAAATCCCAAATGGGTCTCCTGAGGTAACATCCCAGAGTGGACGGGGCTTCAGGGGAGAAGCCGCTCCCCTGTTTTCAGCTCCAGGAAGCGCCCGCATCTTTGGCTCACGGCCCCTCTGCTCTCTTCAGAACCATCGCAGCACTCCAACCTCTGCCTCTATCGTCCCCCTTCCTTCCCTGCCTCCCCTCTTCTGCCTCCTTAGGAGGACCTGTGATTGCATGTAGGGCCCACCAGGATGACCCAGGACCCACCCCTATTTTAAGGTCATCTGACTAGCAGCCTTACTTCCATGTGCAACCTTAACCCCTCTGGCCAGCCCAGAGTCGTCCCAGCTCTGGGGATTAGGGCACGGGCGTGTCTGAGAGGAGCCATTCTTTTGTCTAGTGCTGCCACTGAGATGCGAGAATCCACAGCTCCAGGAGCCCACGGGTCATCTTTGGGTGGCTGACCCTCCTTCTGAGTCATTAGCACAAGGATGGTGTTGAAGCAGCCGGCGTGGGTGAGATCCCCCAGGGACTCAGACACGGCTCGCCCTGCAGGCATCGGGGCATCAGGGCTGCTACTGAGCTCACTGAGCTTGCCACCTGGACCCAAGCAGGGAGGTAGACCAGATGCCTCCACTCACCTTCACCTCATCCATCGTCCTTTCCCCTGTGTGCCAAACTGCTCTTCATGTGCTATCCATGCTGAGGGTTCCACCCCTGGAGGGGTCCTGCTCCCCCAGGCCTCGGGCCCTCCTCAGGTGGTTTCTCTGCACTGGGTAGTGTCTTTCCTGGTAACATCTGCTGTGTCTTCAAGGGTCACCCCCTCCCCAAGAAGGGGGGAGGACAGGGAAAGAGCGAGGAGAAGAAAGGCACAGGGAGAAGAGGGAGGAGCAGGAGGGCCCCTTACTTGCCTGAGGCTCTGCATTTCCATCTCTGACTCCCCAGCAGTGCCAGGAATCACGGAGCAGAAGGACCCCGCAGGGTTCTCCTGAGCCCAGATCGCCTCGCCATGGACTGGTACTGCAACCCAAGCAATTTCTCCAGCGTTGACACCGCACAGCTGTCTCCAGGGTCGGGGAGCGTTGGCCACGTGACCTTCCGGTCCATCTCGGTGGCTGTGTCCCTCTGTGGGTTGGTGGGAAATGGAATTGTAATCTGGTTCATCCGTCTGTCCACCAAGAGAACCTCCTTCTTCACCTACAGCCTCAATCTGGCCGTCGCGGATTTCCTTCACCTTTGCTTCCAGATCGTGTTCTCCGTCCGCCAGATCCTCAAGGCTTTCCTCCGGCACTGCTTCCCTCTCCCCGGGATCTTCATGGTCCTGAGGTTCTTCTTCTACTTCACTAGCCTGGGTGTCATCTCCGCCATCAGCTGTCAGCGCTGTCTCTCTGTCCTCTTCCCCATTTGGTACCGGTGTCATTGCCCCAAGCACCTGTCAGCCGTCGTGAGCACCCTCCTCTGGATTCTCACCTTTTTGCTCAATATACTGCGAGGCCATGCCTGCGGTCAGCTGTACATCAGGAAGACACAGTTCTGCCCTGCGCTCCTGGCCGCCACCAGCGCCTGGGCGTTCCTCCTGTTCTCCATCCTGGGCGTGTCCAGTCTGCTGCTGCTCCTCCGAGTCCACGCCAGCTCCCAGCGTCATCAGCCCAGAAAGCTCTGCCTGGTCCTCCTGGTCTCCGTCCTGGTCTTCTTCGTCCTCGGGCTGCCGCTCAGCATCATCAGGTTCCTTACAGCTGACGTGGAAAATGAGACCCTCAATGACATCTGTGTCCTCCTGTCCTGCACCAACAGCTCGGCTAACCCTGCTGTTTATGTCCTCATCGGGGGCCTGCAGAGGCAGCAGCCGAGGGAGCCCCTCCAGGTAGTTCTTCAGAGAGCCCTGGGCGAGGAGATGGAGGACGGCAAGGATGGAAAGGCGCGCCCGCCTGGCCCCCTGAAGGGCGGGGAGCTCCCAGGGGATGTGTGTCTCCGGGGCACGGCCCCTGCGATCTCCTGGCAGTAACCACCCCTTGCCACCAGCCGGACAGAGCTCCCCGAGTCAGCAGCCCCAAACAGCTCCTTCACTGCCTCCTCGTCATGTGGAAACTGAGGACAAGCAGCCGGAAGTGGACTTCTTGGCACAGGAAACCGACTGTCCACGCTTCAGGCTTTTGAAACCTGTTGTCAGACTACTCTCCTGGAAGGGGCGGGGGCGCTGTGAAGTCGCACCCCCAGCCTTGGAGAGTCGATTTTAACCTTTGCCTCACTGTTAGGATTCCGCTCGCCTTCAGTTTTGGATAACTGGGGCTGCCACATCCCTTCCAGGTGGAGGCTGGTCCTCGAAAATGATGCGCCTTGTCCTTGGCCCATTTTCCTGGCATGTTCTGGGGTCTAACTACTCTGTGTATGGTTTTGCCCCCCGATGTCCAATGGCTTGACCTTGTAGGATGTGCTGTCTCTCTCAAGATGCTCTGCTTTTGTCTTTAGAATTCCAGCGAAATAAAGCTATGTGGACCAGTGCTGCCCGGAAAGACAACATCCACCCTGGCACAGGCTGGCGGCCTCGGTAAACACGCGCTGGGGTCTCCGTGTGGCCCCCAGGCTGCTTTGGTCGTTTGAGTGAAATGTTTTAGCCAAAACACGTAGGACCATCCAGCGGCGAGAGGCAGGCACTCGCGTGTCTTAGTTCTAAGGAGCCGCCCCCGGAGAGTCTGGGTTTGCTCCGTGTCGGACAGGCGGCACCGTTGCCCTCACCTTGTCTGTGTCTGGGTCTTCGGGAAGAGCCAGGACCCCACACGACACATTTGTGCTGCAGAGAGGAATCCACAGCTTCTCACTAGCTAAGCTCTGGGGACTGTTTTATAGCCGGGGGCGGGGGGCACTACCTTACAACTGGGAGGCACCACTACTCTGCAGCTGGGGGACGCGACCTTGTACGCGGATGACCAGAGGCCAGGGTCCGGGGCCCTGAGAGCAGCAGCCTCCGCAGGAGAACGTTCAGGACCCCGACCCCAACCGCCTGACGAGGCTGCCCTCAGGGTCCCCGCTCCCCTGGGACAGCGGGGAGGGGGCGGGGGGGCAGGGCACAGCCATTAAAAGAATGACTCAGCAATTAGCACCAAGGTGGCGGAAGATCCAGCACCCAGCAGACCTTCTGTTTTGTTTGGTTTTGTTTTTACTTTAGTTTGAAATGGTTCCATGCTCCCAGGAAGCTGCAAACACAGTACAGAGGGGTCCTCGTGCCCGCCCCTTAGTTTCACTTCTTGCCCAACTCAAGTATGCTATCAAAACCAGGAAACTGACATTGCTTCAGTCCGTAACCCTTATGCAGATCTCAGCAGTGTTACATGCACTCGTGCGTGTGTGTGTTTCGTGTGCACATTTGTGTAAACATCACCACCAAAAGATACGTTTGTGACTGATCACAAAAACATCTCCCTCATGGTGTTCCCAGTTCCCTCTCCTACTTCGTTCTTTTAAGAAAAATGTTTTTAAATTGAAGTACAGTCAATTACAATGTGTCCATTTCTGGTGTCCAGCACCATGTCCCAGTCATGCGTATACATACATATATTCATTCTCCAATTCTTTTTCATTAAAGGTTATTGTAAGATATTCAATGTAGCTCCCCCTACTCATTCTTAACTCTGATAGATCAGTTTTGGAAAGTACATACCTAAGAATTTATTATATTTAAAGTCTGATGAACATTTTGCCAGCTAGGCAACCCTATTCATCTCAATAATTTAGGCGTAAATCTCTTTTTAGGAAATGCAGCACCAATCTGCAATTATACATTCTTACAGCTACAGTGATTTTATTTATTTACCATATTAAATGCTTCCTGTGGGTGATGCCTCGCCCTATACAGAGGAGAGGAGGAGTAAAGGCAGATGAGGAGCAGCAGTCTGTCCGAGAGGGGCTTTCAGGCGAAGTGACGTCACCTTCCAGCAAACCCTGAGCTTCAGCACCCGCTCAGGGGCACACAGTGACTGCTCAGGGCCCTTCTAGGGGCCAGGGCAGGTACCACGCTGACCATCAAAGGGCAAAAAGTGGGCGGTGGCCCAGTTCCTGGGGCCCCCAGCCCCTTCTCCAATGTGCTTGGAAGAACCCTCCCACTTGCCAGCATATGAAGTTACTGAGCCCATAAAACTAACAGCCTCACACCCCGGGGTGGCCGAGCCCACGCTCTGAGGTCACCAGTCTCCCTTTTGACTGAGACGCCCTATGCTCGGTCTATGGAGTGTGCATCTCCCTGAATAAATCCACCTTCACTCTCCTTCGGCTCCTCTTGAATTCCTTCCTGCGCGAAGCCAAGGACCCTCACTTTGTGGGCTGAGTCCCAGGGACTCGCCCGGGACCCAGGTCACAGCCATCCTCTCGTGCCTGCTTGAGACGGAGGCTCCCTGACCCCGTTTCCAGCACATGTGGTGTGGGAGCTGGGACCTCCCTCCAGACCAGGGTCTCTCACAGTTGGCTCGGTCACAGGCTGGAGCCCAGGGTGGGCGGGGCTGCAGGTGGGGTGGGGGCTGTAGACAGGAGGATGTCACTCCTTTCCTGGGAGTCAGCAAGGTGGCCATCCTCCCCAGGTCACCTGCAGGGTGTGGACACCCACACTGAGGGTGCCTGGCCGTCGCCCCAGGTGACAGTCATCTCGGAAGGCGAAGGGCGGCCCAGTGTGAGCGTCCCGCTTCCTTGGGCGCTTGCACTGAAGAAACAGAGAAGACACATGTGCTGACTTCCTGCTGCATTCGAACTCGAGAGTTTGCGAGACTGGAGCTACAGCACCGCAGGGCAGGGCACAGAGGAAGCCAGCGCAGAGAGACAGGGCTGAGGAGCGTCAGGGGAGGAGAGAAACAAGTTCCAGCGTGTGGCACAAGCCCTGGTTCCGGCCAGCCCTGCAGCTTCACTCCCCCTGGACTGCTCAGCACATCAACCAATAAATTCCTTTCCTTGTTCACCAGGTTGTCTTGGGTAAAGCTTTTGGTAAATCCGCTGCAGAAAGTCCAAGCTCACGCAGCTTGCAAATGTTCCTGGGGAGTCCCGGGAGTTCCTGAGGGGTCCAGCTGTGTTGCTTGGATCCAAGGCTGGATCTTCCTCAAGGCCCACAACCAGAGCCCAGCTCTTTCCTCCTGGCCCACCCAAGCATCGCCCTGCTCAGCTCAGTACCGACCCATGACAGTGAGACCAAGACGGACAGAGGAAGACGGTGAGGACAGCGGGCAGCCTGCCTGCCACCCAGGGGCCTCTCCCTCGGGCAGCACGTCGTGGGGGCAGGGACTGATGACGGCCCAGCCTGGCCCTGGGCACGTGGGACACAGGCCCATCTATATCCCTACAGGTTTCTGCCCTCAGAATGACAATGACGGTGCCCAGGAAACAGAAATCAGGGAAATGGGCTGGTTTCTGGTGAGAAGAAGCATGAGCAAGGACAGAGGAAGGAAGGGGCTGCTCTGCAGAGCTACAGAGACTGCAGGGACGGGTGAGGGGCGGGGAGACGCGCCCCAGAACCGGGGCCTCCTCCACCCCTGCCTGGAAAGCTCCCCCTCAGCTCCGGTGAGGGCCAGGGGCAGCGGGGCAAGGCACGGGGGTCGGGAAAACACTCGCATCAAGACGGGAGTTAAGAATCACAACCTCTTTATTTCAGCCTTTTTTAAAGGAACTAGATTGAAAAGATCCGTGTCCTTGAAATACGTAAAACGCGCTGCTCTGGGCAGGAGGGGCTGAGCTCATGGCCACGGTCACGGTCACCAGAGAGGCAGATCCCCGAGGCAGGGGAGCCCTCCGTGCAGGACCCGGCCTCAGTCCACACCATCCAGGTCCTGCTGCCTCCTCTCCAGCTGGAGAACCTGGAAGTCATGAGAAGACAGCGTCACCATGCAGACCCCAACAGTCACATGGTCCAACTACACCTATTCACCCCAAAAGAGGGCCGCAGTCCCGGGACTGGAAACGCTGGTCATGACACAGCGTCTTCACGGTACTGAGGCGTGGGCGGGCCGAGTCTGGGGGACGCGCCTGGGCCCAGGCGCCGTGGTCGCTGCTGGGCCAGAGATGGCCGGCGAGTCCCATCTCCACCCGCGTGCGTCTTCTAAGGTTTCTGCACCCGCGGACCTTCAGGCTGACGTGGGGGAACCCACTTCCGAGTGTGTCTTGGTGGGAGCCAAGCCCCCACCGCTCCCTAATTCTTTGCTGGGGGAGGGGCCGCCCCGGGCAGCCCTGGACCCTGCCCACTAGGCGCAGGAGCGCACACCCCACCGCAGACGCGGCCACCAGAAACGCCTCCAGGCGGCGCCGAGGTTCCCTGGGTGGGAGCCACCGCCACGGACGCGCAGTGCTACCTGGGCTCCGTCCCGGCTTACACGCCACCTCCTCATGGACGTCCCCCCCCCATTCTCTAGTTCATCGCTGCTCTCGTCCCAGTGTCTCGCTTTCATGCGTCCTGTGCTCACTGATCGCCCATCCTTCTCCTTCTCCCCTCAGAGGGCGGCCGGCGCTAGGGTGGGGCTGCCCCCCACTCTCTGTCGTGGAAAAGGGAAGGTGAGAACGACCTAGACTTGCCTCTTAAACTGATCTTATTCCTCCTTCTTTTATTCTATTATTAATTAATTAGAAAAAAAGGCAGGGGGAGCAGAGGATATAGCTCAAGTAGTAGAGCGCATGCTTAGCACGCACAAAGTCCTGGGTTCAACCCCAGTACCGCCTCCAAAGGTAAATAATAAATAAGTAAATAAACTTCATGACCTCCTCCCCCCAAAAAAACCTAAATTAAAAAAAAATTTTTTAAAAGAAAGGAAAAGCAGATGGTTTAGAAACCACGAAGCCAGCTGGACAGCCCCGTGGTCTGGAGATGACCGGGACTGGCGCCACGCTGACGCAGTGACCCAGACCGCTCGTTTCAGCATCCTCAACGCCGGGGGTCCAGCACGGCCGAGCCAGCACGTGCCAAGCTGATGGACTCGCAACACACTGGCTCCTTTGCAGAAAAAACGGCGGTAAAAAAAATGCCACCGTGTGTCTTAA